CGCGTGCCTGCAGCCTCGCCGTCCCTGCGCAGCGTTTCGCGGCTGCCGCCGGCGCCACTGCTCAACGGCATGCTGGCGATGGCCTTGTTCTGCGTCTCGGGAGCAGTGATGGGCCTGCGCCTGCGTCTGGGTGCCGGGCGCAGCGACACGCCGAGCCCGCCGAGGCCGTCTGTGGCCTCGCGTGCGCTGGGCGGGCGCACGGCGGGCGCGGGATGCATGCCTCCGAGCGTACCTCGAAGCGGCGTGGCGTCTGCGTGGAATCGCGGGTCCGAGACCAGGTCGGGGCTGGCCGAGTTGGCCGCAGGAGGGGGCGCCTCGAGCTCAAAGTGGCTGCGGCTGCTATCGACGCCGCAGCGCCTCCTAGCGGCGAGGAAGGCGTGGGCGAGCCGGAGCTCGGCGATCTCGACGCGCACGCCGTCGCCCTTGTGCGCGGCGAGCTCGAGCATGGCGTGCTCTGTCTGGCACTCGAGCTTGTCGAACTCGTCTGCGAGCGCGGCGAGGCGTGCGTCGGCGGTGGCCGAGGAGCTGCGGGCGGGCGGCGGCAAGCTGGAGCGGTTGCTGGCTGGCGGGATGGAGACCGGATCGTGCGGCTTGGCGAGGGGGACGAGGGGCACCTGGTGTTGGATGTAGTGCTGGATCATGAGCACGCGCTCGTCGAAGCGGTGCGGCTCGAGACCGACGGGCGGCGGACCGAGGCGCTTGAAGAGCTGCGAGGCGAGGAGCGAGTTGGTGGCGGCCGGCGAGGCGGTGCGTGCGGGCTTGGCAGAAAGGGGTAGGCCTGCGATGATGGGCGATGAGGGTACGTTGTGGCGCGATTGTGGGCGCGGCGACGACTCGGGATCCGGAGTGCGCGGGAGCAGGGCAGAAGTGATGGCCGACAGACGATTGACGGGCGTGCGCGGCCGGTGAGCCGAGGTTCCAAGTAGCTGCTGCGCGTGGGCATGCTGAGCGTCTGGATGGCTGACGAGGTGTGCGTGATATGGACCGGGTGATGCGGCACCGACGCTGGTGGTGGCACCGAGGCTGTGTGCATGGCCCGTGGAGGAGCCTGCACTGGCGTCGTTGTCGGAGCTGTAGGTGGATGAGCCGCCGGGTGCTGCTGCCTCGGCTGCGGCCGCGGCGGCGTCGGGCCTCCACGCTGAGGGCGGAGCGCCTCTGTGAAGTCTGGCCTTTGCTGGTGTGGGAGGCGCGTTGGCGACCATGTCAGTGCGGCTGTCCTTGGGACGCAGAAACTTGGGCGCCATGGTGCTGAGGGAGGCACTGCGCGAACGCGAAGTGGCGGCGGAGGCATCGTTGGCGGGCTGGGTGCCAGCCGAGGAAGAAGCCAAGAGCTGGATGTCCGCGGCCGAGGCATTTTGACGCCTGCGCAGCTTGCGAGTGTTCGGTAGACGGGAGAAGAAGCTCGAGGAGGCGTTGGAAGGGGAGAGGAGGCAAAATTCTCGATCGTGTGCCGAGGCCTGGCTGGCGAATGACTGGACGGAAGCGTTGTGTTGGGCGTGCGAATAGGGAATGCGGGAGCCGGATGCAAAGGAGGCGGGCAGGGTGGCATGACTGATGTCGGCGTCGGTCTCGGCGCCCGAGTCGTACGCCAAGCCGTATTGTTGGGAGCGTGACCTTGCACGTCGAATCTTGGAGGCGAAGCGGCGGGAGAAGCTGTGGTTTGAGGTGTGGGCGTGGTCGTGTTGGGTGGAGAGGATGGTGGCGGTGGTGGAGGAAGGCTGGAGCACCTCGAGATAGTCTGTGCGAATATCATCTGCTGCGGAAAGGGATGGTCTTGATTCTAGAAAGTCGATACGCTGTCGATCCTGTACGCTCGAAGCGGTCTTTGGCCTTGCGCGCGACTTTGCATGTTGGGGTCTGATGGGGTTTGACTTTGCGGGCACGGGTGGTGGGTGGTCGAGGCGCTGGCTTGCGGTGAAGGCACGGTAAACGGGGGTATCGATAGGGCCTAGGCCCGGAGATGGGAGTGGATCTCTGGAGCGGATATGGACGTCGCGGCCAGCAGCTTCGAGGTCGCGTGGATCCCAGCTGATGATGTGGACGTCTGCAGGTACGATGATGTGGACGTCTGCAGGTACGGCAGCGTTTCGCGCGTTGCCCGCGTTGCCCGCGTTGCCCGCGTTGCTCGCGTTGCCCAAGCGCGATGCTTGATCGGGGAGAGCGATGCACGCACCGGAAGGCGAGGGCTGCGAGTTGAGGATGGAGTTGGATCGGTCGCGATCACGACGTCTTGTGAGGAAGCGTAGCGACATTGTGACGGTGGAGCGGCATTAGATGAAGCAGAATTAGTGGGGCATTGATTAACGATTCGAAACGATGTAGAGAGCGAACGACGACGAGGGCAGCGAGAGGATGATGGCGGTGGTGACGAGACAAGGGGGAAGGTGCTGGCGGGGGGCAGGGCGAATTGGAGTTGCAGTTTGCGGTGGAGTGCGGTGGAGTGCGGTGGAG